GTCTACACAGGACTGCTTAATCAAGGTTGCTCTTTTTTGGTCCTTACAAGCACCTTTGGCCTTCACACAAACCTGCTCAGTTAATCCCCTGATTCTGAAGGGCAATCAATGCTGGCAGGTCCCATAGCCACGCATGGTCATCGGTTGCAGCATTATCCAAAAAATTCTCCTCTTCGTAAAATGGGACGCTGGACCCATTTTTCCAGCAGGGGACGCTCCCCACCAATAGATGGACCTCTCCTCCGGTGCTAGTGCTGACTGCTCTTATCAGCAGCACCAGCAACGGAAGGGGTTCCGTTTTAAAAAAAAAGGAGACAACTCCGCCGGTGACCGCTGCACAGTTTCGAATTCGCAGGAATAACAGTCCACTGCAAGTTTGGGCGAGGACCAGTTCAAAACTGCAAGAAAAACAGTAGACTACGCGTTCGACGGCCTACCGGTTCAATAATTGGCAGAAACGGGAGGTGGCCTGGGCTAGTGGTACCTCCCTTTTTCCCGTGGCCAGTAGCAGGCCCTCCCGTTTCGTGTTTTGTTTTTCCCGTTTTTGGCTTCTGGGGGGACTCCGTTCGAGTTGGAAAACGACCCCACCGACCGAGCCACGAGCCCCGCCCGCCCCATTCTCTCTCTCTCTCTCTCTCTCTCTCTCTCTGCTGCTCGGCCCACAAAAGTGCGAATGTATCTGGTCCATTGTCGGAGTCAGATACATTCCCACCTTTTTTTTTTGGCACGCTAATATTCTCTGTATCATTCCCATCCCCCCACCTCTCTCTCTCTCTCTCTCTCTCTCTCTCTCTCTCTCTCTCTCTCTCTCTCTCTCTGTGTCTGTCTGCTGCTGGGCCCACAAAAGTGCGAATGTATCTGGTCTATTGTCGGCGACAGATACATTCGCACCGTTTTTTCTTGGCATGCTAATCTTCTCTGTATCTTTCCAATCCCCCCACCTCTCTCTCTCTCTCTCTCTCTCTCTCTCTCTCTCTCTCTCTCTCTCTCTCTCTCTCTCTCTCTCT